GCTTTCGTGGACTACAGCCCACTTCTTCGGATGCATACAGAAGAAGTGGGCTGTAGTCCACGAAAGCTTATGCTCTAATAAATTTGTTAGTCTCTAAGGTGCCACAAGTACTCCTGTTCTTTTCTGTAATCTATAAACTCCCTTGGGATGGTTTGTGCAGTCACTGGGCTGTGAGTTTCTTGGTGCTGAGCAAGGCTGCTCCATCCACAGCATAGAGATTCATAGAATCTAAGGTCAGGAGGAGCCATTGTGATAATCTAGTCTGACCTCCTTGTGATGGGTTCGGTCACAGAAACCCCCTTGGGACTGTCACCTGATGTGCTGAAATCACCTCTGAGCCCGTTTTCCCTGTCAGCTTGGGACTGCAGAACCCTGCCTTGTTGAGCCAGACACACTAGCCTGCTGCAACACAGACCCAGGTCTGGTCCATGCCCCCAAAGCTGCAGACTTTAACCAAAATCTCCAGCACCCAGAAACCCAGCTCCCAGTGGGATCCAAACCCCAAATAAATCCATTTTATTCTGTATAACGCTTATACAGGGTAAACTCATAAATTTCCACCCTCTATAACACTGAGAGAGAGATGCACAATTGTTTGCTCCCCCAGGTATTAATCACTTACTCTGGGTTTACTAATAAACAAAAGTGATTTTATTAAGTATAAAAAGTAGGATTTAAGTGGTTCCAAGTAATAACAGACAGAACAAAGTAAGTCACCAAGCAAAATAAAGCAAAAACATGCAAGTCTAAGCCTAATACATTAAGAAACTGTTTACAGATAAAATCTCACCCTCACAGATGTTCAAATAAGCTTCTTTCACAGACTAGACTCCTTCCTAGTCTGGGCCCAGGGCCAGTGCACAGAAGTTTCGTGCCCTAGGCAAAACTTCCACCTTGCGCCCCCACGCAGCCCTGCGGCAGCTCCCCGCCCACCCCTCCGCCATGAGGCGCCCCCCGCCACGGCAACTCCACCCCCCCCCGGGGAGTCGTGCGGCAGCTCCCCACTCCAGCTCACCTCTGCTTCGCCTCCTCCCCGAGCACACCACCCCCGCTCTAATTCTCCTCCCCTTCCAGGCTTGTGGCGCCAAACAGCTGATTGGTGCTGCAAGCCTGGGAGGCGGGAGAACTGGAGCGGCAACCACACGCTTGGGGAGGGGGCGTAGGAATGCTGTAAAAAAATTGGGGGCACCGCTTTTTGGCGCCCCCAAATCTTGGCGCCCTAGGCAACTGCCTAGTTTGCCTTAATGGTAGCAACGGCCCTGTCTGGGCCCAATCCTTTCCCCTGGTACAGTCCTTGTTAGTTCCAGCAGACATCTTAGGTGGAAAACAGGGGTGTTCTCATGACTGGCAGCCCCGGGAATCTTTTGTCTCTCTGGGTCCCCACCCCTTCTTCTAAATGAAAAAGCACCAGGTTTAAGATGGATTCCAGTATCAGGTGACATGGTCACATGTCCTGTGGACCCCAGCCTCCATTCTTCCAAGGCTGGCCCGCACGCACACAGGAAGGTTTGCAAGTAAACAGACCATTTACAACCAATTGTCCTAGTCAATGGGAGCCATCGAGCTTCCAAACCACCATTAATGGCCCACACTTTGCATAATTACGAGAGGACCTCAGAGTTATACTTCATATTCCTAGTTTCAGATACAAGAATGATACATACTTACAAATAGGAGGAATATATTCAGTAGGTTATAAACTTTGTTATGATACCTTACAAGAGACCTTTTGCATAAAGCATATTCCAGTTACATCATATTCACACTCATAAGCATATTTCCATAAAACATTATGAGGTGCAACGTCACACTCCTGTCTAACTCAGGCCAGGGAACTACATTGATTTCTCATCAAGCCCATAGCTTCTGGTTGAGCTAGAGCAAGTGTTGGAGAAGCCACTCTCACCCTGGTTAAATTGTTCCAGTGTTTAATTACCCTCTGCCATGGATCCACAGGATCAGTGCTATGCCCCCAGCTTTGGAAATGAGTCCCCCTTTGATGGTGCCTGACCCCCCCAGTGGTCCCACTCTCCCTTCAGGGTAGGCCACATGGCCTCATCTCCTCCTGAGATTGAATCTCTGGGCTCCAACCCTTCTGCTTCACGCTGTGAACTCAGCCCAGCAAGTCCAACTGAAATAGACTCACTCCTGGTAGAGACATGTACACCCTGCAGGGATTAATGCACTGCACCCAGTATTAGCTGTGACACTGGAGAAGCACTGTCAAAACAGTCAGGTTTATTAGCAACTGGCACACGGCAAAGGAAGTCCTTAGATTAGCACAGAGGAACAAAGGTTAAAGCATAGTCCATTCTAGTCAGCCAAGCTATAGTGAATCTAAGGGCTTGTCTACACTATGCAGCTTTTAGCGACAAGGCTGTGTCGACACAGCCTTGTCGCTAAAAGTCAGCATGTGTAAACACTCTTTGTTGGTACTTCGTTGGCACTTTTGCCGACAAAATACTTCCAGCCCCGTGAGCAGCATTAGCTTTTTCAGCAGGAGCACTAGCCACGTTCACACTGCCACTTGATTGGCAAAACTTTTGTCTTTCGTGGGGGGCGGTTAAGTACCCGTGAAAGACAAAAGTTTTGTCTTTCAACTTCGCAGTGTAGACATACCCCCATATTCAGGCTCTGTATGTCTCTCTCACTCTCACCTCCTTAGCCAGTTCCTAGGTGAGAGAGCCCCCAGCTTCCTCCAGAAGAAAACACTCCATCCCCCACCTCACACCTCTCAGTCTTTTCTTCTCCAGATGGGGTCTCTGTTTGGCTTCCCTGCTGAGAGATGGGGAAGTCCACCCCCTCTGGGTCATTGGTTGCTAGGTATCAGTGTCTCGGTGATTGGGTTTTCCATTGTTTTCTCAGATTTTCCACTGGTATGCCCAAATAAATGTGTCAGTCTCTAAGGTGCCACAAGTACTCCTTGTTCTTTTCACTGAGATGGGGTCACCCTCAACCAGTCCTTTTAATGACTCATTCAGGGACAGCTAGGCAACACACACACAGCTACATCTCTTAGCCTGCCCTGAAAGCAAACTTACTCTTTTCCCCTCCACTGGGTAGCCATGCAAAAAATGGGGAAGCTGAGGCACAGAGGATTCATAAAAATATTACAGAAAATTCCCACTTCATCATACCGTCTTTTAGAAATAGACACCAGCCTGAATTTGTATAGCTGCAGCCTCCAGCAATTGCAGTCTGCCTTTGTCTGCTAGATTAAAGAACCCTCTACTACAAAATAGTCCCCTCCTTCCCCTAGATGCCTAGGTACTCAGAAACCATCCCTGGGGACGGGAGTCAGTCAAGGGATCGTGCACGCTCACCTCAGGCAGTGGGAGACAGGCAGGGGATCACCCGCACTCCCCTCAGGCAGGTGGGAGACAGGCAGGGGATCACCCGCACTCACTTCAGGCAGGGAGAGACAATCAGGGGATCACCCGTACTCACCTCAGGCAGTGGGAGACAGGCAGAGGATCGCCCGCACTCACCTCAGGCAGGGGGAGACAATCAGGGGATCACCCGCACTCACCTCA